TTAGTGTTTTTAAAATGACTTTGAGAACTATTTATAAGATGAGGAAGCCTTTTGTCTCTCAGGATGATTTTCTGATTTAACTGGTTTATCCTGTCCAACATGCTCATATAGGTCTTAGTCTGTTACAGCAGCTATACCAAAATACCATAAACTGGTATTTTGTATCAACAAATTTATTTCTCACAGTTCTTCAGACTGGACTGTCCAAAATCAGGGTGTGGGCAGATGTGGTGTCTGATGAGGGCCCACTTTCTAGACTGACATGTGTTCACTGTAACCTCATGTGGTGGGAGGGACAAGTTGGCTCTGTGGGGTCTCTTCTATGAGGGCACTAATTGCAATTACCAGGGCTCTGCCCTCATGAACTAATCACCTCCAAAAGGCACCACCACCTAAAACCATCACCTTGGAGGTCAGGACTTCAACACATAAATTCTGAAGGGATATAAACATTCAGACCATAGCAATATATTAAACATTTTTATAGTGTTCAACTTTACACTAAAAGGAAGTACTTCAGAATGCAGAGAGAACATGAGGAAAGTACATATCTCATTCCCACACACACGCACCCGCCCCTTTCCTCCCTTGACTCCTTATCAGAGCACTCATCTACCAAGAATTGAAATAAAGAAATAAATGTGGTCGGAGTAAATAGGGGTCCCTTGGGCCTCAAAGAAAGAATGTTGTAGCAAGCACAAACTAATGTAATTTGTGATTCAGGTCATAAGTGTCCAGAGCCACCTCCTATCAAGGAGGTATGGCAAGAACAGTCACATAACTGAGACTAGGGAGAGAGGAGCAGAGGGTGGGACATACTCCTGCAACCAGCTCCATCCCTCTATAATTAAATTGGGACTTGGGGTAAAAGAAATAGGTTAAAGGTGAAGACAGCAGCTTGGTGTGAGTGAGCGGTATTATGCAAGCAGAGATGAGGAAACAAATGAGAGATGGCAGGACCAGGTGTCCTGGGAATGAGAATCTCCTGATTAGACTCTCCCATGCTGAGCATCTGGGGTGGGACGAGTTGGTCAAACCAAACCCAATACTATCTTCTTCCAAGTCCAAGGCCAGTCCCAGCGATACACCTCTGCCTTCTCTGATGGATCATGGCTGTGTGCAGAAGGTCGTAGAGAGATCTACAATGCCTCAGACTTGCCCTAGGTATTAATAACTACCAGCAGAGGAATGCACGTGGAACCAAAAGAGCTCCCAAGCAACTATGGGAATGGTGAATGGGAAACAACTGTCTGCAGAGCCAAATGGGAAAGCTATGGGGAGAGGAGAAGAATGTAAGGAGAAAGACAGAATGTAAAAGGAGGACATAAACACATGGAGGACATAAAATAACCCATTTTACACATACCCACATATGGAAAACAAACAAGCCAATGAAAAAAGAAGCAACCTTGTTCTTAAGCAAAGCTAAATCATATTCTTAGAAAACCTAACACGTAAAAGTTAATAGGACCTTTCCATCACTCTTTTATAATTTTTTTAAATGAAAATACTCAATGTTGGTAAGGTTATAGTAAAACTGGTAAATTCATAAATCCTTATAAATGTAAATTATTCCTGGTTGAATATCAATTTATCGTAAGAATCAAAAGCTATAGAAATTCTCATAGCCTTTCACCCAATATTACTTCTGGGCTCTTAAACTTAGGGGAATAAAACTCAAGAAAAACTGTATGTATAAAAATACTCACTTTAGGAGGCCAAGACAGGTGGATCACCTGAGGTCAGGAGTTCGACACCAGCCTGGCCAACATGGTGAAACCGGGCCTCTATTAAAAGTACAAAAATTACCCAAGCTACTCAGGAGGCTGAGGCAGGAAAACTGCTTGAACCTGGGAGGCAGAGGTTGCAATGAGTTGAGATGGTGCCACTGCATGGCCAAAAAAACACACTTTTCAATGGTGGCTTGGGATAAACTAAATGTTTAAAAACAAACAAACAAACAAACAAAAAACAGAAGAACAACTGAGTAGGCACTGCAACCCAGCAGGGCATGGTGCCTCATGCCTGTAACACCAATACTTTGGGAGGCTGAGTTGGGAGAAAAGCTTTAGCTTAGGAGTTTGAAACTAGCTTGAGCAACAGAGTGAGACCCTATCTTTACAAAAAACAACAAAAAAAAATTGTTTTAATTAACCAGACATGACATGCACCTGTAGTTCTAGCTACTCAGGAGGCCGAAACAGGAGGACCACTTGAGCCCAGGAGTTCAATGTTGCAGTGAGCCATGACACTGTCACTGTGCTCCAGCCTGGGCAACAGAGTGAGACTGCCACACACACAAAAAAAGTATGACATATTTACTGTGGCATTTTGTATGCATTAATTTTCATCCACCCATTCTGGTTCATAATGCCAATACACTCTGTTACAGCCTGCTGTTATAATATTGGGTGTTTTAGGCTTAGGGGTGGGGGTTGTTCTCAGGAAACTCTCTCTCCTGCCTTCATTTCATCTGCTCTAAGGCAGGACTCTACCCCAACCCTTCCCTCCAACCAACACCCCCCACACCGTCCCCCTGCCTTTCTGATTATGGATCTTAAGACTGTACCTAAGAGGGTCCACCTCATACCCTGGAGGGAAGGAATGCTTCCATAAAAACCCCAGAAGACTGGGTTGGGCAAGTTTTCCCATAGCTGAACAGGTGGAGGTTCCTGGAGGATGGTGAGTTTAAGGAGAGCATGGAAGCTCCATGCCCCTTCCCCCATACCTCACCTTATGTGTCTCTTCATCTGTATCATTTGCAATATCCTTTGTAATAGGCCAGTAAACATGCTTCCCTGAGTTCTGTGAGCCACTCCAGCAAATTAATCAAACCTAAAGAGCTATCATGGGAACCCCAACTTGAAGCTAGCTGGTCAGAAGTTCCACAGGTCTGGACTTTCAACTGGTGTCTGGGGGTGTGGAGGGTAGTCTTAGGGACTGTGCCCCCCAATCTGTGGGATCTGACACTCTCTAGGTAGGTAGTGTCAGAAATGAATTAGAGGACGCCCAGCTGGTGTGTGCCGCTTGGTGCACGGGGAAAGAATTCCCACACATTTGGTAACCGTTTTTATACTGTTTTTCTGTGTTGGTGATTATTGTTGCAGTGTGAGAGAGAGGGAAAACACACTTTGGATAGTTTTTCCTCAGACACTTATTAATTTAAAATAATAAAAATAAGACACTGCCACCCAGTGGAATCCTATGGAGTCATTAGAAATTATAATTATTAAGTTTATGTAGCCACATGAAAAAATATTTACAATAACAATTTCTAATATTTATCAAATATCTCTAGATCATAATTACGACTGGGTAAAATACGCATACCTATAACAAAAGCCAAGAGGAAATGGGGTAGAAGAGACAGTTGATATGTTAGGAACTGTAGAACTGTGGTTGATATTTCTTTCAAAATTTTTCTTCACTGATTTGTTGTCCATTAAAAAAAATTATGAGGTCCGGCATGGTGGCTCACACCTAGAAACCTAGCACTCCAAGAGGCTAAGGTAGGAGGATGACTGGAGGCCAGGAGATTGAGATCAGCCTGGCAACATGACAAGACCCCACCCCTCCAAAAAAAATAAGGAATTGGATGGGTACGGTGGTTCATGACTGTAGTGCCAGCTACTCAGGAGGCTGAGGTGGGAGGATTGCTTGAGCCCATGAATCAGAGGTTAGTTACAGTGAGCTGTGATCATGCCACTGCACTATAGCCTGGGCAACAAAGAGAGACCCTATCTCTACAAATAAAACAAAATAAAAACACCTTATGGATTTGCTAAGACTAGTGGAAAAGGCAGAAACAAACAATAAATAAAATGAAAGGGTGGAATCTCTTTAAACCCCTTTTAAACTATTAATAAAACCTTTCTTTTCTCTTCATCTTCCTACATTACTAGGACTTCACAGCAGTCCCACGCTTCTGCCTGGAAACACAGCTCATCAGTTTATTTTTAAGGTAAACTTCTTAGGACCAAAACCTAGAACCACTAACCTGGCCCCCAAGCTGCTCTCTTGCTCCCAGTGAATAACTGTGACCTTAAACACGACAGCCTTTCCCCAGCTGCCCAGGCCTGGCCTGGCCTGCCCTTCACAGATACAAAAGAATAAATGGAAATTAAAGGTGGCAGCACCTTCATCTCCCTGCTGCTGGAAGCTGAGATTTCCCAGTCTACACCAAGCTATGATTAACAGGTGGCAATGCCAAAAACAACAAAGGAGCTTCAAGGAAACTGTGCTAAAATACTCTCCCAGTTTTAACTACATACATATCCTTTTCTACTCACCCCACCCCATTCTCCCCTTGTACTCCAAAACTCTTCTGAAGCTACCAGGTTGCATAAAGACACTAACAGCTACAGCTTAATGTTCAGAGGTTGATGGAGACTACAGAGTGGGCCAATACAGATCACTCTTCAGAAACAAAAAAGCTGTTTTCAGAACCAGAAGGAAATTAGATAATCCCAGCTCACATTACTTAATGGTTTTAAGACTGGAAATTCTGTGTGTGTGTGTGTGTATCACGAGGTCAAGAGATCGAGACCATCCTGGTCAACATGGTGAAACCCTGTCTCTACTAAAAATACAAAAATTAGCTGGGCATGGTGGTGCACGCCTGTAGTCCCAGCTACTCGGGAGGCTGAGGCAGGAGAATTGCTTGAACCCAGGAGATGGAGGTTGCGGTGAGCCGAGATCGCACGATTGCACTCCAGCCTGAGTAA